ACGGTGCTAACATGCGTGCTTCGACACAAACCCCCTCTGGAGTTAAAGCGCCGTGACGAGCTGTGCACCCTTCTGAGCTTTGCGCCACGCAGCACGCTTAGCAGCTGCATGGCGCCTCAACTGTTGAGCCTCTTCAGTGTCTTTCAGAGACCAGCTGCCCTCGGACATCACCTTGACAAGAGCGCCATTGTCGTGCCACTTAGTGAGTCCGTCGCATGGCATAGTGCTCCCAGGGACCCAACGTACTTGACAGCCAGCACTGTCATCGACTAGCCCTTGTCGTAAAACAGCCACGTCTATGGCTATCTTGCGGTCCGTCGGAAGGGTCTCCGAGTTGATGGAGTCATACCCCGTCCGCGCGTCTGTCACTAAGACGTGCTTCCAAGCTGCAACGCAGATTTTCCACCGCCTCAAGTCGAACGAAGGCTTTATGAGCTCGACGAAGAGGGCCCGGACATAGTCGCCATGCTCGAAAGCTGTAGCCAGTGCTGACACTTCTGCAGACATCGAGCATCTAACAACCCGTTGCACCTTCGAGCTGCTGGCTTCCATGATGCAAACCGGAGCCTCCCCTTCCAAAACATCTGGGTTGGCGAACATCACCAGCGTGCCCCCTTGACTGCCACCATTTGGCATGGCACCATAGGCTGCATCGCTCACTGACAAGATCACGACCTCCTCGAGGCTGCAACCCAGCTGCCGCATTCTCAAAATGACAGGCTCCTTGGCTCTGCGGATAACCGTGTTCACCCACTTCATAGCTTCCCCACGTCCTTGACCAGCCAACTGTTGCACCAACGACGTCCCGAAACATAAATCAAAACGACCCTGTCTGGCAGCCCAATTCAGCTGACCCACCACCGAGCTGATGACCTTCTTCTCTTGGTCGGTCAATGCTGGCTCCTTGGGATCACCCTGGACCACATCGTGAAGGTGAACCAGAGGATCGACGTTTCGACCTGACACATCTAAACTGGAGGACCCCGGAGTCGTCGTAGTGCAACTGGAACTCGATGTAGAGGAGGTCGCCTGAACATTACTATGGTTGGACCCCGGAGTCGTCGTAGTGCAAGTGGAACTCGAGGTTGTAGAGGATGTCGCCACCGCCCTCGGCTTTACTAAGGGTATATTCTCAATGTACCCTTCCATGCTCACCTCCAACTCCAGAGTGATGGGGTCTTGACGTTCCCATCGCCCACAGAACTTCTGCCATCCCTCCGTGGCTTTCCGAACTTGTCCAAACTGAAGGCGCTCGTGCAGCTGCTTCCACAAAACCTCGCTGGTTTCATCACCGGCGTAGCGAGTATCATCAACATGTATACTCGCCATTGCCCTCACCCGTCCAGCCTCGTTGAATGCCCGGAAAACACCTGGGGCCAACCGAAGCTCATGCAGCCCCAATTCTTGCAGCACCTCCTTGTAGGCCAAGTACCACAACCGTGGGCTCTCCGGTAACCCGAAACCACCCTTGGTGATCTCCACGATGTCGTCGCGCACGTTGCCGCCCAACTCGCCGACTAGGAACTCCACCACCTCAAGAGGATAGCCACGAGGGAGTCGAGCGTATATTCGCTCCTGTCTTGGCAGCTCCTTTCCTTGCAAGAAAGCGGCTGTCACGTCCTCATAGTGGATCAGCCATTTGTTCTGAACCGCCACAAAGTTCAAAAGCCCGTGACCCAAAGTGGATGCCGTTGGCGAACTCGTATCATACAAACCCGCATCTGGGTCTCGGTGGCCTCCGATGATCCAACGCGCCTTCAGCACCGCATCCTGAAGGAGTGTGCCGCCCTTGTTTGTCAAGACGAAGCGCGAGCTCAGCACCCTGCTCGGCTCGACCATGGTACCTTTTGGCACACCCTTGATCCCCCCATGGTCCAGGTAGACCTTCAAGGCCTTCTTCAACGGCTCCACGTACGCCTGCTGCCATTCCGGGTCCAAACCAGACCACTTGTACTCCACGCGGGCCTTTCCAGTGACGACTTCGGTCACACCCTCCTTGTCGACCTCATGCAGAGTCGCGGCGACCTCCACGATGGTCGACTCTCCAGCATGGACACAGGGACTTGACCACAACGTCCAATGCCCGATGGTGTCATTCAACATGGCCTCGTACTCGCCAGGCTTGAAGAACTCCGCCGGGACCTCCACCTCCTGAACGACGTGCGCACCCTTTGGCGTGCCAACATCCATGGCATCCACGTTGCGCCCTCGCACTGAACTTCGGGCACGCCCACTGCCACCTTTAGGCTTGGTCACGATCGCCTTCCGCACCGCCTTGAACTTGCTATAGACGTCGTTCAGGTGATCACGGATGCCCGCCTCTTCGAGGGTCGAGGGGGGCTCTAGCTGCTTCGCCAACTTCTCAAACAGCTTCCGCTTCTTCGCCATGTCCCATGCATGCGGGTCCTCAGCCGCAAGGGAGGCTTCGGCCTTCTGCTTCAAGTTCTCCCGGATGCAAAAGGGGATACCATCAAGCAGCTTGGCCTTCTCCTCAGCTTGAGGGTCAGCTTCAGGCTCAGAAGAGCTCGACGACGAGTCAGAGGAACTCGGCTCCCGAGGCTTCTTCCGCTTCTTGGGAGCCTCGGTCACATCCATAGACTCCTCGCCACCTTCGGCGACAGCTTCGTTGTCCATCGCGTTGCCCTCGACCGTGATCGTGCCATTCTTGAGCTCGGCCTCCACGTCCTGCAGGGCGCCCGTGATATACTCCGCGCCCATCGTCTCGTCCGGGGTGGCCAAACGAAGTTTCTCGAGAGGAAAAGCCTTGACTCTTCCTCGAATCCTCACCCAGATCCGGGCTGGAACTGGCTTATCCCTTTCCACACAGACGATCACTCCAGGGCCTTGCCATGAAGACGCATCCTGCAGTCGCCGGGCTTGCCCTCGTCGACACACCGGGGGGTCGAACACATAGACCACCGCCCCTTCTCGCAAACCTTCCAAGGCCGGAGGCCTTGACCGGGAGGCCAAAGCCCGCCGCAAAGCTTCGTGGGAGTCCAGCCAATGGAACGACTCGATGGCCCCGTGGCGGATGCGCTCTGCCATGGCGATCGCCTCACTGGTGTCCAGGGCCTGGTTATACTTGAAGCGAAGATGTCCGCCTGAAATTTGCGCGAGCAAGGAGCCAGGAATCACCGTGGCCCGGCCAGTCACCGCCTGCATCGGACTCACCCCGCCTTTGTTGCTCAGGCGATTCTTTGCCGAGAAAGCACACAGAGCTCCGAGTCGCATTTGCTTCAACCCAGCCAAACCAAGGGCTTTCACATTTCTCATCATCATCAACTTCACAATCGCCCCGTGCCTTTCGGCCTGTCCCATCCGCCACTTGGCACCCTCGGGCACAATCTCATGAACCATGCCGAAGAGGTCGGTGAGGATCTGGATCTGCCCAGCGAACTCCGGGCCTCCATCCGTGATAAGCAGATCCGGTGGCCCAAACGGTCCCAGCCACAAGTCTTGCAGAATCTCGCGAGAGAAGGCGCTGTCGGGGCGGTCGGTCAGGTCGCCCACGTGGTAGTCCGTAAGGCCATCAATGAAGTGAGTGACAGCGTATTTCACTTCTTCACTATCCCAGATGAAAAACGAATCCCCCGAAATTCTTTCATTGAATTGACGAGGTTTCGTGTAAGCCACTTGCGGGGATGCCTGCGGTGGCCTGACCATGGCGCATACTTGGCACCGAAGATTTCGTCCAAGCTGTACGACTTCTGCTCGAGCTCCACTGACCGACAACATACGTGCCAGACGCTCGTTGCTGGGGTGGCCGAGCGTGACATGTAAATGAGCAACCATGGCTCGTAGTCGACGCGGTTGCTGGTTGCAGGTGCCTTCAAACGACACGTAATCGTACCTTTCTCCAGACAAGGAATTTTCGGACATGTGTCTCCGGAGGTGCTCCTCAGGTAAAGAAGCATTAGCGACCACTGTGGTTTCCCACAGCTGGGCACCCCCACTTGGCTCAGCAAGGCTCCAACCGCCTCCATCGTTGCCACCACCTGCGGTCAAGGCAACGGCCGCACCTCGCAACACATGCTCACAAAACTCCTGTGGCCAACGAGCGGCCCACTCCGACATCCGCACCGACACTCCATCCACGAGGCAGGCCCCTCGCACCAACCGGTGCTCGCCGGGCTTGTGACCACACCACGAGCCCTTAGTGAGCTCCTTGGCAAACTCCTGATTGTTCACATCAAGAGCCACCCGCTTCTGCAAAGGCTGGCCGTGCTGCGGTTCGCACAAACCAAAGGCACATAGGTCCAGGTAGACGCGGTACAGAGAGTCGCGGGCCTCCATCATCGAGAGCTTAAGGGCCTCAGAGCCGACGGGTTGCTCGGTCAGCACCAAGCGGCCACCCTCATTTTGCCGCTTCCAAACATCCAACACCAGCTGCCAAAGTGGCAATTGTTGACGACGCCACTCCCAAATATCCTCGCGCTCCTGGTTGGCCTCAGCAGAAACGCTCCAGGGGCCACATGGCGGCGCCATCGTCACCAAGTCAGGCCGCTCTTGCTCCACCAAAGCAAGCAATTTGCGAGCATCCTCCCGCCGAGTCAGATCCCAGCCGGTAGCTCGATCCACGGAAGCCAACACTTGCCACTTCCCGTTTGCCTTGGCACATTGTGTGAGCCGCGCCGTGCCCGAGAACACTTCAAGGAGGATCCACTGCCCGGAATCAGTCACGACATTGGAGAGCAGCTGGATCGCCTCCTTGCCCGCAACAATCCCAGCCTTCAATCTTTGGGTCAGCCCCCTGCTGGGCCTCTGGGAGTGACCCAGCTCAGGTCTCACATGAGCCTCCACACCTCGGGCGAGTTCAGCTTCTGCCTCATCGCCCCGAAGTGGCCGAAGAAGTACGCTATCTCGCGGCTGAACAGCAGACTCAGCCACCTCTGGTTCTTCTTCCAACGCTTCCCGGTTTCCCTCTCGATGGCCGCCTTGACCCTCAACTGCCACAAGAACTTCTTCCACAGGTACGTCCGCATTCGGCTGTGAACCGAGCACGCCACATTCAAAGCCACCTCGCTCGCCCACACATGGCTCAACGACGGGTAATCTGCCTGCTCCCCCGTCAGTGCTCGTCGAGCTTGGGCCTTGGTCTTCGCCGTCGCCGCTCGTGCCCGGCGCTTGTTGAGCAACTGGATCTCGTCGGGGGTCAGGGTCTCCATCGCCGGGGGCAAGATGTCCACGTTCGGCACCGTGAGCTCGTTGCTGGTCGTCTCCGCGTTCCCCTCCGGCTTCGGCGTCAAAAGTTTCCGCCGACCTGCTGGCTTCTTTCTGGTCATCGGGTCCTTCTCCTCCTGGTCCACCGGCATCGACACCTTGTCGAAGCTCTCGTCCGAGATCTCGGCGATGCTGGGGCAGTCGCGAGAGCGATGAGGACCCTTGCACAGCTTGCATTTTGGGGCACCGTCGCTCGTGGCCGAGGATGCCATGTGCTTCTCCAGAGCGATGCGAGCGGTCATCGGGCGGGGACTCGAGCTGCAAAACTGTTGGGGAAATCACCGTCACATCCACTCCCTTCGGCAACATGAAGTCTTCAGGCAGATCAGCACACAACGGCTCACACTCATCCACAGGCATGGTATAGTGACCGCTGTCAAGACAAAGCCCATATGACTTTACCCCCAACTTCCTAGCGCCCACAGTATGATGCTCACAGTCAATCACGGCCCCGACTTGTGTGCAACCCGCCCTCGAGAACAACGGTGGACACACTCCATCCACGATGCTGAAGCCATAGACGACCGGCTTCACCCCGAAGCTGCCCACAAAACTCAGACGATAACGACTTTTGAGAACCTCTCCATCTCCGAACTTAAAGGTCTCAACCTCCGGGGTGACCCGAAACCAACGACCCTCAGCTTGCCACCGTTTGATAAGAGCACTCGCCCAATGAACTCCAGCCACAGACCTCATACAGCCGATGTCTAAAATCACCTTGAAGGCCAACTCTCTCAAGGACCAGCACACCTCATTGAGCGACATGTTTACTGAAGTCAAAACCCGGTGCTCCATATATTGCGGCGTGGCTCGCGAGTCGTCACGTCCATCGCTGGGCCCAGGTGGCCGTCTACACACCGAAGCCAACAGAGCCCATTCGGCCCCATCATCCAGTGCCTCTGGCACCACAACAGGTGCCCTTGTCTTGGCAGCGAGAACTCCTTGAGGCCGACCACCTCCATTTGGGCACTCACGTGACCAATGGCCCAGCTGGCCACAGCTGTGGCAGGGGTTCGTCTTCATCTTCTCCTGCAGCAAACGGCGCCTTTCTTCGTTTTGCTCTGGCCGCTTGTAATACTGACGAAGTTTGCGAACCTCTGCAATCTTCTGCTTGGCCTTGTACTGGGTCCCGAAAGCCTCGTTCTCCAAGTGGACAATCTCCGGCGGAAGCTCACCCTCATCCAGCGACTCCTCGCCATCTTCATGTCCACCACTCGCTGGCTCCTCCACAGCGGGGCCCTCAGTCGCAAACACACCTCGCGCGGCTCGACCACCAGGCTGACCACTGGGCAGTCGCGGTTGCCGGCCTTCGCTTCGTTGCAAAAGCCACTCTTCACCATTCCGTGCCAGCGAAGGCTCCGCAATCCCGACCGGGTAACCACTCTCGCCCTCGAGCTCGGCCGCCAGGTCCATCATCGCCGCCGTCATCAGGGCTTCGCTGTTTGCATTGCCCGCCTTAGTCTTGATCATTGCCTTGTCCCGGCGAGTCAAGCGAGCATGGTCAAGGAGGTGCCCCACATAGAAGGCCTCCCCCATTGCAAGGCTGGGGTCCAACCCCAACAGGTGCGAGCGATACACTCCAGCCCTTGTCACATACGACTCCATCGACTCACCCGCGGCACGACTCAACTGCATAAGCCGCCTCCGATGCTCATCGATGCGGTGTCGCTCCACTTGCTTTATCAAAGGAGCCGCCTCCAACACAGCGAAGATCCTGGCCTTCCCGTCCTTGTGGTTCACATCCTCGAGGCTCAGGTGCTTAACCAACTGGGCCGCCCTGTCCTTAAGCTGGACCATGATGCGGGGTCCGATGATTTCTGGAGGAAGGTGCCCAGTCTCACTCCCTATCCAAAACTCCACGCTCCGTTTCCATTCAACGTAGCTTTCCTGAGGCTTGGCACGAAACACTGGAGGATAGGTGCTGCTAATCTTCCCCGAGGTCTTGGCCTTCTCGTTCTCCTCGACGGCAGCACCAGCGACCTTCACTTTGCCCTTGTCGTCAAACCCTCCCGTCAGGTTGTCCCGGGGCTCCAGCTCGTCCTCGACGAAGTTCACCGTGTTGTTGTCTCCCCAATTGGAATCATCTTCTGCCGTCGTCCTCCAGCTCCAGTTCTCATTCGATCGGCCCCAAGAGCCATCAGACCAGCCAGTCCTCCCTGACTGCCCTGTCTTCCAGCTCCAGTTCTCATCCGCTGCGTCCTCGTAGCCGCCTGCCCTTCCCCACGACTCTTCGTGGGCCTTCTGGCTAGAGGCATCCCCCTGCCACTTGCCATCTTCTGACCAACCATCCCAAAAAACACGGCGCGGTCGTCGTTCGTGAAAAAACTCCTCATGGGCACTCTCCCCGCTCCGATCACTCGAAGACCATCCTCCGGTGCCCGGTCTCGCCCCGCCCCGCCTCGTCCAACGCCGCTGGGCGTCGACAGGCGGGGTTGTGAAGGAAGGGGGCTCCTCGGAGTCCTGTTCCAGCTCAAAACATTCGAAGCCAAAACCTTGGGCCTCCCCCAAGGTGTCATAGTACGACCGTGCCATCTCCCACGACGGAGAGAAAAAGAAAGACCCTGAAGTCTGTGCGCCCGGCCCAAGCCGCCCACCAAGCTTCCACACCAACCACCCAAAAGTTCACAAGTAGCCTCGCCGGGCCCGCCTGCAGGCTTTTCCAAGAACTTGTTCACAAAGCTCCGAATCGACGTCGGAAGCACCGTCTGCAAGCCACCCTGGATCGCGAACCGGCTCCGCTGCCACACGAACGTGGCAACGCTCACAAAACAATGGCTCGGCACCTACCTTTTGCGCACTTCAGGGCCTCTCACGGCTGCAACATGTCGAGACTTCGGCTCGCATGATAAAGCTCTCAGCGCTCGAAACGGTGCTAACATGCGTGCTTCGACAGTTATGGGTAATGCAGGATTTATATCATCAACGGTATCTCAGAGGCCGAAAAGGCTCTGAGGGCTGCCAAACTTTGGGGGCTTTGGGGCCGTGGGCTTTACCTACAAGGTGCTAGACCCTAAACCCTAAACCCTGAACCCTAAACCCTAAACCTAGGCCGAGGCATCTCCTTAGGGGGGGGGGGGGGTTCCGGAATCCTCCGAAGAGTGTCCTTGCGTCTCTTTGGGGTGATTCAGATTTGATGGGGCAAGCCCCAAAACATGACGTAAGCTGTATATGGGTTCTGCTACGGGTCGTTGCGGAGGGTAAGATTCCGAAGTACCTCTAATGTGGGGGGGGGCGGAAACTTACAAAAACCATAGTTGCAACTAATTCTAGAAACCTTTCCTATGCAAGGAAAAATGAACCCAAAAGTTGCAACAGCGAGCAGCTGTAGAGATCTAAAGCCGAGACCCTAACCCACAGCTCCAAAACAAAAACAAAAAAGAAACACATCCAAAAGCTGAAATCGTTTTGGATTCGAGAACTACACGCCTGCTTGCGGTACTTCTTGATGACGTCCAGTCGCTTGGCATTCACTTTCGCAGCATCTCGGACCCAGGAATGGAGACGACGGGCCTGATCCGGGGGTTTAGGGTTTAGGGTTTACGGGGGCTTGTGGTACGGTTGATGATATAAATCTGCATTACCCATAATAAAGAATACCATAATTCCCATAGTTTAGGGTCCTTATAGGTCCTTAAGGTTATGCAAGATTTATATCATCAATCGTAGTGTCATACTATAGGAGGGCTGGGGGAATTTTAGGGATGTCAGGGTGCATGGTTTAAACGTCACGGTTTCAAGGTGAGCAGGTAGGTTTTTCTGAGCTTGCGTTGCAGGGTGTGGGGCTTAGAGGCTTAGAGTTTAGGGTTCGAAACCACCTGCAGGGGGCTACGGTTCCAGGGCCCTGTAGGTCACATCAGGCCACCCACCAAGCTTGCAGTTCCGCAGTGGACTTGCCTATCCGAGTACACAAATGCAGCAGGGGTGTTTGGAATGTTGGGATGAGACCTACACAAGGCGACTGTGCAGGCACTTCGGCCCTCCAAATGTGTTGCTGATCCAATCATAAGTTTCCTGAATGCAATTACCTGCAGGCCGAAGGGCAGCTGCAGCTTCCCCTTCCAGTCTCTGGCCCAGCACTGAGCGATGCTTTCTTTGAACGAGCTCCATCGTGCTGGTAAGGGACTTTGTGGTGTAGGCTGGAAGAATGTAGGCCTGAGCGTGATATCGGTGGAGGAGAAGCACCACCGCAGCTTCGCTGTGTCATTGATAATCAACAATGGCTTGTGCCCATAACCCTTCTTCTTCGGTTCAAGACAACATGCCTTGACCCTTCTGCAAGATCCTCTTCAAGTCACGACGCATGTTGCGTTGGGGCACCACGACCCCAACGGGAAAGGGCTCTGCAGATCGGATTGACCCCAGCAGCCGGGCTCCTAGTTCCGTACCGACGTGCCACTCATTGTGGTGTCCCCTCGCATCTGTGAGCACTGTGCACATGGCAGTGCTCGGAGCTGTGTGCACCTTGACGTGGAACGTGCGGCAAAGACATGCTCCAAAATCGTTGAAAAGTTGCATGTAGCAGTCGACTGAGCTATATAAGTCTAAGTACGTACCCCCAGTCGCCAAGAAACAGCAATGAATTTGACCCTATAAATCCTACAATCCTAGCTCTTAAGCCTCGAAGTCTTAAGCCATCTCTCTGGGTACTAGAACCCCTAAACCACTTAGTTGTCAGACACACGGAGTTCCAACTTGAAGTGTTTCTTGTGGGTATACCATCCCAAAAGCATCAGCTATTACCAACTCAGCCACCAGGCTAATCCTACACCTTAAACCCTACGCTGGCCTTATACACCCTAAACCCTGAATCCCAAACTGTTCTTAATGTAAGGCTTGGCCACACTTCTGGCCTCAGCCGACAGCGCGGTTTCTCCTTCGGGCACCTGCAACAGCTCGACATTTGAGTGGCTTGATGAGATTTCGGAAGGCTTTCCCAGACTTCTAGGGCTGTCTGGTGCTTCTACAAGTTGTATTGCACCATGTAGTGCTGTCCGGGCTTAGATGGCTCCAAGGAGCTATTGAGCGGTGGGGCTTCTGGTTTGGAAGCTCAGTTTAGGACCGGTTTTGGGTTTTAGGGATTGTTTGAAAGGCTTACGGCTATATCGCCCTTGAGCTGCATTCTACGAGTACAGGGCCTACCTGAATCGTTCTCTAAGAAGAGGCGTGTCCAGGGGTGGAATGGCTTAGGGTCTAGATTTCGGCGGGTTCTGAGGTTCAGGGCAGTCTCGCGTACCAGGGGCTGTAGAAACGGACTTGATGGCAGGTAGTGAAGTCTGCAACCCCGAATGCACCTCAAGCGTAAATTTGCCTTCTATTGTAACAAGCAGGATCCAGAGAGGCACATTGCACAATTGCCGCAATGAAACAAATAAGGCGCATCGCCTCTGCTGGCAATCCCAGGTAAGCCGCAGGCTCCAGAAGGAATTGTCGCAGCTGCAGCAACAACTCCTCCACAGGGTCGTGAGGTGATAGGGCCTATGGGCCCTAACCCGTAACAACTAAACCTTTGTAAGTTTCAGGGGTTTTGGGGTTCCAGTGTCGGAAGGCCGGCATCACGACCATTCGGACAAGTTACATCAGGTACGCTTGCAGCAACCCCCACAAAAAAAAAACATTGGGACCGTCAGGTCTTGGGCTCACCCTGGACGCACTTCCGAAGAGTCTTAATTACGCTAAACCTGAAATCCTAAATCTATAAACACACACACACACACCCACACACACACACACGCGTTCACACATACCCAAATTCGGAATCACCGACTTCCCTCGGTAATCTGGACCAAAATGAAGTC